CTGAAGAACAAAAGGACAGCAACTTGTCTGTTCCCCTTCCCCAATTCCCCAGCACTGTTCCCATCCCCACAATTCCCCAATTAAAAAAAAAATCTAAAAAAAAAAAAAAGAATAAGGTACCTTGACATTTTTTGGTTCAATAAATAACTCTCTTAATATCTAGGAGAATTAACACTTTCCAAGAAGCTCAACTCACTCCTCTTCTCCTGTATGTATTTGTACTGAATTATGGCAGTTGGTTACTGCCACAGAATTGTTGAATGATCCAATACTACACATGTATGTCTCAGGAGCTTGAAGGCTTCCACTAAGTTGGCCTGCCTACTTCTGATCTTGACAGGGCTCACTCATGTGTCTGGGGTACGGGCTTTGCGTCAGCTGGTCTAGGCTGGGCGTGGCTGGGTGAGCGGGCTCTGCTCCAGTGTGACTCTCATCTCCCTCCTGGGACATTCTCAACATGATGGCAGAAGCACAACAGAGCAAGCCCAGATTTTCGAGCCTCCCCTTGCATCACAGCCATTGTTATCCCATTGGCCAAAACAAGTCAAAAGGCCAAGCTTTGAATCAAAGGACGGGAAAATATATTCTGCCTCCTGATAGAAGGAATCGCAGTATCACATGGCAAAAGGCACAGGCACAGGGGCTGGAAAGTCACCAACTGCCCGTTGGTTTCATTCTCTAGCCTTGTCATAACAGGGGCCTATCTTACAATACTGAAAATTCTGTAGAGCCTGGCCTTTTTTAGGAATACATGTAGGAATATTCTCAAAGCCTTCAACTGCAGAAACCTCATTTCTGTCATAAAATTTAGGAAAAATAATTAGTAGGTTGAGAATCATAATTTTACAGATTCTACAGATTAGGTTCAGAGACTTAACTGAACCACGTATGCCCACATCTTTGATGAGGACTGATCTCTGAGTCCTGGACCAAGGTCTGTTCCCTTTATACCTTGAGCATCAGTCAAGAAAATTCAGGTTATTCTTGACGTGGGAATAGCAGGAGGCAGTTTTGAAATCAGAGCATAGAGCTACAGGCAATTCATAGGAAGGATTCATTCTGAGTAATAAATAAATGTATTTATTTTCATTATGCCTATAAACATTGATTTTTTTGGGGGGGTAAGAATGCTATTATGTGGCAAAGTTTCAGGAGATTTGGAAGAAGTATGACAGGAATCAATTTCTTAAATAAGTATTGCCTTATCTCAATTATTTTTTCAAATAATGGCTAATTCTAGGAAGGTTTTCAAATCCTGTCTGCATTCCATTTTTGATGTAAATCATTTAGGACAATAAAGCACAGTGAATCGAAGGTGGTCTGAATGTTTGTGACCACCCCCCCCCCTTCACCCCCCCAATCCATATGTAGAAATCTTACGACCCAAGGTGATGGTGTTAGGAGCTGGGGGCTTTGGGAGCTGACTAGGTCACAAGGGTAAAGCCCTCATGGAGATTAATAGATGAATGCCTTTATAAGAGGCCTGAAAGAGCTCCCGTCTGCTTTCCCCAAGTGAGAATGCAAGAAGTCAGCGGTCTGCAGTTGGAAGGGGACCCTCACCTGCCCATACTGGCATCACTGTAAAGTTACCATTTTTATCTCTGTCATTCAAAAATAATCTGTGATGAGATGATTTAAGTGTAAATGTCCTATTTCCATTTAGCATCTATTGATTACTCTTACCTGAATCCATTATTACCATGATGGCTGTAAAATGGTGATTTTCTTATGCTATCACTCAGAAGATAGAAAAAAATTTTCTAATATTTTACTTTTGTATTAATTGGGATCCTGATTTTGTTATATATAACAAAAAATGTTTGAATATTAACATTTAAGAAACTTCTTTATTTAAACATCAACATTTTTTCTTTGTTTTCATTAACATCAAATTTTTTTTTTAAAGATTTTTATTGGGGAATCGGGGAAGGGGAACAGACAAGTTGCTGCTCTTTTGTTCTTCAGTCTAGTTGTGGAGGATGTTGCTTCACTGGCCCATGTTGGTATTATCATTGCGCTCTTCCCAGGTAAGGCAGCTGCTCACCAGGCCACTGGATGGCCGCTCATGATGGCTGCCAGCCACTCACCGTAGCTCATGGCAGCCCAGCTCCAGGTTGAGCTGTTGTTCACCATCTTAGCTGTAGAGGGCAGCGTCACTGGCCCTCATGTGGGATCCGAACCGGGGCCCTGCTGTTCAGAGCTGGCGTCCCAAGCCAACTCTTAACTAATGTGCCACTCGGCTGGCCCAACATCAAAAATTTTTTATTTCCTCCTCTTTTAGTGATATTAGATAGTGATAATTATTGTTACTAATAATATTTATTAAATGCTTATTCTGTGCCAGGCACTGTGGTAAGCACTTACAGTATCTCATTTGGTCCTCATAATCCCTAAGAAATAGGTACTATTATTGTCTCTATTTTCCAGGTGAGAAAACTGAGAATCAGGGAGGTTAAATAACTTGCCTAGGGTTACAGAGCTATTTTGCCCTGAAGAGCTGCTGTTGCATCACTCACCATCATTTGTACTATAAAGTAATCAAGGGGAAGGAACTGATCTTCACTGGGAATGTGATTAGTGCCTTTACTCCCATTTCCAAGGCCAGATGTATTGTTACATATCCACTCTCTTTCACTGCAGCCTAGGGCTGGGGTATTCACTAGTACTTTGAGGTCAATTCAGCCTCCTGATGTGACATGGAGTAACAGAAATTGTGAGGCAGCATAATGCAGTGGTTTTGAAGTATCCTGATAGGAGGGATTTTTTCTTTGCCCTGTGACTTGAGATTTTGGAGAACTTCTTTTTTTCCTAGTTTTATTGAGATGTAATTGACATATAACATTGTATTAGCTTAAGTATACAACATAATGATTTGCTATTATACATTCCAAAATGATTACCACAATAAATTTAGCTAACATCCATCACCTAGCATAGTTACAAATATTTTCTTGTAATAAGAACTTTTAAGATCTACTCTCTTAGAAACTTTCAAATATACAATATAGTATTGTTAACTATAGTCACCATGCTGTACATTATTACATCTTCAGAACTTATTTATCTTATAACCGGAAGTTTGTACCTTTTGACCATCCTCACCTACATCACACACTCCTCGGTTCCCCCACCTCTGGCAGCCACCAATGTGTTCTCTGTATCTATGAGTTTGGTTTTTCTAGATTCCACTGGATGTCTTTTCTTTCTCTATTGTTCCTTGGGGGGCTGAGCAGCACTCAAGCATAAAACAGTAAGGTTTAAATGTTGAAATCAGGGATTATAGAAGAGAGTGTGGTGAAGGAAAAGATGGGAGAGTAAAGGGGAGTAAAGGGGAGAAGAAGAGGGGGAGGTATTCCCAGTGGTAGAATTGAATGTAAGCTCCATAAGGGGAGGGACTTTTTCATTGCTCTACCTGTAACATGTAGAATAGGGTCTGGCACATAATGGGTACTCTGTAATTATTTACCAAATCATGGGATTGTGGTGCTACTGTAGTGTGGTTGGTCCAGCTGAGTGTAGTATGCCAGCTGAGGAGGGGTGCTCATCACATTTCCTTTATGAAAGAACTTACCAATCAGTTGTAGAAGTGCAGTTGACTGGCAGCCTCAAGCTGGTAGCATCGTTAGGCTGTGCCTCAGCTCTTAAGCAGAAGCCGTGATCTTGCCAATGACTGAACATGGAGGTGGAGTATCATTGCCTGGCCCTTTCTGCCCAACATGGTCTCCTCTAAGGGGCATGCTTTGCTCCTAGAGCTCACCACTGGGTTGGCCAAGACCCTGTCAAATGCCCATCATGGTCTGAAGCTTTCTGCCCAGTCCTGCTTCTACCCTCTTTATCTCTCAAAGACCACCCTCATAAACCTCTCATACTCCTAAGTCCACTTCCATGTTTGCTTCCCGAAGGACCCAAATGACAAAAGGTGTGACAATTTGCCTTGAGCCTTGGTTCGGAACAAACTGTCAGGTTACGATTTATTCTGGGTAGATATTTCAGTCTTCCCAGGCCTCAACAGTCTTTGTGGTAAGGTTATGTACCGAACTCTTAAGGACAGTGCTCCTCAAAGTCTGTGGACTGGTGTGAGTCCATGAACTATTTGCTATTACCTGTCTACCATGAGATAAGTGCAGAAATCAAGAATAATCATTTAGAAACTTTAAAGGCAATTCACCATTGCTGCAACAACTGTGATCGGTGAACAGGTTTTCTTGAATAGGGTATGGATTAATTTGGTGGTTGTTGAACTCACACGGTGAGACCCACGTTGTGTGAATTGTGCACTAGTCATGTGCAGTAGAACCAGCATTGCACCTTGTGATATTTTAAAATTAGTTTGGTAATTGTGACCCTAGCAATGTATAAAATCTGGAATTCATTGCTTTCATCTAAAGTAATTTAATTTTAGGGGCCGGCCAAGTGGTGTGTTGGTTAAGAGTTGGCTTGGGACACCAGCTCTGAGCAGCAGGGCCCCGATTTGGATCCCTCATTAGGGCCAGTGACGCTGCACCCCCTACAGCTAAGATGGTAAACAACAGCTTGACCTGGAGCTGGGCTGCCATGAGTCACTGCGGGATGGCTTAGGCCTGCAGTGGAGCTGCAGTGGGCTGCTGTAAGCTGCCGTATGCTACCGTGAGCAGCTGGCAGCTGGCGTGAGCTTTCGTGAGCTGCCAAGAGCCACTGTGAGTGGCCGTCCAGTGGCCGGTGACTAATCTGCCTCACCCAGGAAGAGCGCAATGATAATACCAACATGGGCCAGTGAAGCAATGTCCTCCACAACTAGACTGAAGAACAAAAGGACAGCAACTTGTCTGTTCTCCTTACTCGATTCCCCAATGCTGTTCCCCTTCCCCAATAAAATATTTAAAAATAAAAAATAATTTAATTTTAAAGACAACTTTAAAGGGTTATTGTTGGAATTGGCAACTGATGAAAGATTGAAGATGAGTTTTGAAAATATATCAGTTGTTTCATTTTAGATAAAGGCTAAAAATGGATATTCTTACCTTGTTGAAATTTCTTAACTCTTCTAAATATTGTATGGCAGCTGTAATTGAATAAAAAATCCAAATAACTCTTCTTCCATTGCCATTAATTTATCTCTGTGAGACTGGTTTATCTACTATGGGTATAAAAACAAAACAGGGAAACAGTTTAGATATAGTACCCTCTATCAGAAGTATGTTTAGGCTAGATTAGAATAACAAACCAGAAAAAAGCTCATTTGCTACTTTAAAAACTTTAGGTATTGACATACAGGGTGATTGTTCAAAGTTTTTTGCTAAATTATGATTGTGGATTAATAAAAAGTTAGGCATGTAAAAACGATGCTTAATCGCTTATACCACACTTTTAGTGAACATTATATAAAATTTTTATAATTACTTTTTCTTTTGTGTTTGTTCTGATTGTGTTTACTGAAATGTAATTTTATGTTTATCGAAACTAATAATGAAAAACCTCGCCTTTTATGTTGTCTTTCCCCCATTTTTCAAGCAATTCGTTTTTACTGTATTTTACGAAAGTATTTTTTAGCGATGAATTGTAAAAATAAAGAATCTTTCACAATAGATAGTTTTCATCACGGAAGCTACTCTTTTGGAAGAGGCTCATTTTGAGGGCGACAATGACAGTGTAGTTGGAACCAGGGAGGGCCCTGTAATGAGATTCAGTGAAAGTAAAAACCTGAACAAGGCTTTAGTAACTAACATTTTTTTTCTAGTTAAATACGCTCAACTTGTATTTGGAATGTTGAACTAATACACATCTAGAAAAAGGAGCCCAGCATCTCACCCCAAACGCCTCCACAACACAGTCCAGAAGCACTTGAAAACATTGCCTTTGAGAGCGGAAGAAAAAGAAGAGGGGCGGGCCCAGGAGCGTGAGGTCATCATAGAGCGCCGCTCGCTCAGTGGGCAGAACCGGCGCCTTTTTGACGTCACCGCTGCCCGACTGCTTTCCGGAAGACAGGCGTGGAAAGCCAGTGAGGTATTTTTCAAAGCTGGGGTTTGACTTTTTCTCGTGCTTCTGCAGAAGTCCGCTTTTCTTGTGATGGGGTCCCTCTTTCATCCTCCGGCTGGTTGTGAGGAGCGAGGTCGGGCCTCATAGCTTTCCGCTATTGCGAGCCCTCCCACCTGAGCGCTGGGGTCAGCCTTGTTGCAGGATCCCCACTTCACTTGTCCTGTGGCTGCTGGCAGGTTTTCTGGCTGGGCACCTCACGTCACTCTCTTGGTCTGGCCTTTCGCTTTTTCTTCGCTCCTTAGTTCCGCCTCCCAAATATTAGAAGGCGGAGAATTTAAAAACGCGTGACTTTACAATTGATTTTCATCTGCCTTCAAACCTTGTTTAAAACGGAAGGCCAAAGGGAAAGGTGTAGGAGAGTAACTTTCCTATGTCATCCACTTTTCTTATTTACATTCACGATCACGAACTGCCTGCAGTTGCTATATTAGCCCACCTGAGATGGTGGGTTAATTTCGACCTTCAGTTGCAATCCGTAGTGGATAATCTCAAGAAAGTAGTTTTACTTTATGGCTCAGGAATATTCAGCGAGACTCAAACTTCTGAACTTCTGTTTGCTGTTTGAAAAGATCTTTAATGTCTTCCTGTTTGTTGACTGCAATTCAATTTGGCTTGATAAAGATGTATCTGCCCCAATGAAATGTTTGCTACCCACTTGTTAACATTTGGATTGTCTGACTGTCCGATAGAACTGAGACTTAACTGTATGTTGACGTTGCATCTGAAAATAACCAGTTAATCGCTATTGAAATTCAGAGAACTGCTTGTGATTGGTTGAAATGATAAAACTCGTTGAAAGATAAAATAATGACGGCATGAACAATGTTTTTTCTTTTTCTTTTATTTTCTTATATATATTTTATTTTTCAATTACAGCTGACATACAATATTAGTTTCAGGTGTACAACATAGTGATTAGACATTAATATAATTTACGAAGTGATCACCCCGAAAACTCTATTACCCATCTGACCCTATACATAGTTATTAAAATATTACTGACTATATTCTTTATGCTATACTTTACATCCCCATGACTATTTTGTAACTACCTATTTGTATTTCTTAACCCCTTCTCCTTTTTCACCCACCCCTAACCCCCTTTCCAGCTGGCAACCATCAAAATATTCTCTGTAGCTATGTCTTTGGACAATGGTTTTTCAAAATAATCACAACAAAATTCTTAGTCAAAAGATGTGACAGTCCCCTTCAAGTAGATGTGTTATATGCATTACAATTCAGAGGTAATAGTTTTTCGACTGCTTTTAACTTTTTAAATCACTGTTTCATATGTGTTATCTCAGTTAGCTACTCTTTCCAAACAGTGGAAACCTTAAGTATGGCTCTAAATAGTTCACACTGGATTAGGATATTTGATCATTTTATTACTAATGTATTGAGTGCTAATTGAGCCAGGCATTGTTCTAATAGCTTTACCTGTATTACTCATTTAATGTCAAAATAGTCATAGATACTGTTATAATTGTTTTAGAGATGAGAAAATATAATAAACAAATCCCATAGTTTTCAGAAGATAATTTTGCTTTATAATTTTGAAAACACTTCAAATTAAACATTAGAATTAAACAATAGAAGTAAATTCATTATAATCTGATGTAATTATTCATCTCAATCTTGAGCAATCTTTACAAGTTATATTTTATTTTATTATCAGACTTTGGGATAAATTTGTTTTTAGAGGTTAACATCTTTAAAACGATGAAGTCTATTTTTTCTCAGATTTTACTATAAGTCTGAAGGAGAATTACAGGTGACACTAACATGGACTTAGTGAGAGATTGTATGTACATTTCAGTATTGTATTCTAAGATAATGCAGTGCAAAAAAAGGCATTACAATAATAGAATTCTGGTGCAACACTTGCAGATGTCTCTAGTTCCAAAAAGAATATATATCGGATTTGTTCTCTAGCTTAGTACATAAATATGTGTAACTCTACTTGGCATAGGGATGGAAACAGACCCAGAATGTACATTATTATACGTTTTTTTTTTATCCATGTGGTGACTTCCTAATATTTATAAGTCTAAATTCTATTCTGATATTAAGATTCTCCAAAATTTGGTTCCAGTTTACTTGCACTGGTTTTAGTTAGTTAACAAATAATTACTAAGTAACTGATATGTTGTAAGATACTGTGTTAGTCATGTAAAGGTACAAATGTCATGCAACATTAATTTTGCCTTGAAGGAATAGCCTAGTGGGTAAATAACTGGTGGAAAGTTCTGAGCAGAGGCGTGACATGATCTGATTCAGGTTTTTAACAGGATCATTCTGGCTGCCTGAAGAACAACAGGTTGTTGGAGATAGGGTAGTTGAAAGCCAGGACTTACTAGGAAGTTGTTGGGATAATTCCGATGAGGTGATAGTGGCTTCACAGGGTGGAAAGAAGTGAATATGGCGAGAAGCAGTTCAATTTTGGATGTATTTTGTAGGTAAAGCTAACAGATTTGCTTATGGATTGAATGTGGGTTGTAAGAGTTAAGATGATTGTCAAGGTTTTTGGGCTTGAGCAACTAGAAGGGTGAAAATGTCATTAACTGAGAAGTGGAATACTGGGAGGAGCAAATTTGTGGGGGAAGATTATGAGTTCAGTCCCTACACTTTACATTTGAGATGTTTGTTAGTCATCCAAGTGGAGATGTTGAGTAGGCAGTTGAGTCTGTTAAGTCTGGAATTCTGTGGGGAGGTCATTGCTGGGAAAGAACAATTGGGAGTTGTCAGTGAACAGATGGTATTTAAAATTGTGAAACTGGAAGCAGTCACCAAAAGAGTGAATGTAAACAGAAAAGAGAAGCAGTAGAAGACCTGAGTCCTTAGGTATTTTAAGCCATTATAGGTTTGGGGAGATAAAGAATCAGCAAAAGAGACATGAATAGCTAGGAAGGAAGGAACAAGGACAATTTTGAGAGTGTAGTGTTGTGGAATTCAGGGTGAAGTGGTGTGTTCTATTTTGTCAAACACAGTTGATGGATCAAGTAAAATAAGGATTGACATCTTTGGATTTATCAAGATACACAAGAAGGAGTATTACTGATGGATATACGAATATGATAACTATGTCTGGAAAACCTTGGGAGTAAAGAGGAAGGGGAGACTACTTTTGTTTGTGATATGGGAGCCTTTATGGAGGAGGGGCATTTGATGTGGGTTTAAAGGATTAACAGGTTTCACTAGGACTAAAATACGGGAGAAGGGTGGGGAGGGGTATTCCAAGCAGAGGAAAAAGCCTCACTTCTCTCCCAGTCAGCTGTTTTAAAGATGCTTTTGCGCGTCCTTATCTTCCCTCTGTGCCCCCCATCCAATTCCTCCTGGGTAACCATTGTTGTTCCAGACCTATTGAGCACTGCTCAGAAATTCACAGAAGACACGAATTACTGCTGCCCAACCTCAACTGGGTCATCCTTCAGTTGCCTGACCTCAACTGGTGTGCTCTCTTGGTTTCCTGAGAATTCCTTTATTTATCCCTACTCTCTTTCTTCTATCAGTGAAGAAGACTGATAGGAAAAAAATTGATTCATTTGAAATATGATGTTGGAGGAGAGCTCTATGGATACCTTGGACCATCAGGAAGACAAACAAGTGGGTCCTAGAACAAATTAAGTATGAAACATCCCTGGAGGCAAAAAGGAAAAAGCCGAAGCTGCCCGACTTCAAGCACATCATGAGAAGATGGGGCTCTTTGGAAAAGACAACAATGTTGGGGAAAACAGGAGGCAGCAGGAAAAGAAGACCAACTATGAGATGAATTGACTCCGTGAAAGAAGCCATTAGGCTTGAATCTCCAGGAGCTGAGCAGGGCAGTTGAAGACAGGACATTGTGGTCATCACTTATTCATAGGGTCAGCAGGAGTTGGAGCTTTTAAGAAAACTTAACATGCATATACAAATATGCCTCCACACTCATATATCTTTTTTCTTTAAAACAAATGGGATAGGCTGGCTGAGTGGCGCGATGGTTAAGAACTGGCTTGGAACGCCAGAGGGCCCCGGTTCGGATCCCACATATGAGGGCCAGTGACACTGCCCTCCACAGCGAAGATGCTGAACAACCGCTCAACCTGGAGCTGGGCTGCCGTGAGTCGCCGGCGACGGCGTAGGCTGCAGCCCCTGCTGCAGTGGGTTGCCATGGGCTACCGTATGTAGCCAGCAGCCAGCGTGAGCAGTGAGCGGCTGTCCAGAAGCCGGCGACTGATCTGCCTCACCCGGGAAGAGCGCAATGATGGTGCCAACTTGGGCCAGTGAAGCAACGTCCTCCACAACTAGACTGAAGAACAAAAGGACAGCAACTTGTCTGTTCCCCCTTCCCCCAATTCCACAGCACTGTTCCCATCCCCCCAATTCCCCAATAAAAATCTTAAAACAAAACAAACAAAACAAAACAAATGAGATGTATTATATATCCTGTTCTTCAATTTTTATTCACTTTAATATATCTTAGGCATCTAAGCTCTACTTCGTACTTTTTCACTGCTGTAGCGTTTATTACTGAATGAGTATATCATCATTTATTTAACTAGTCCTTGTTAATGGACACCAAGGTTGTTTTCTGCTTTAAAGTTTTAAAGAGTGTTGCAGTGGATGTCCTTGAATATTATCTTGTTTGAAAATATACATGTTGAGAAGTAAAATTTCTGCATCAAAGAATTTTTACATTTATAGTTTTGAAGCATAGTGCCAAATCGCCCCACAAAAATGCTCAGTTTACACTCCAATTAATAGTGAATGAGAGGCTGTTTCTCCTCACCTTTGCCCATACTAGGTACTATCAATCTTTTTAATTTTTGCTTGTTTGACATGAAAAATGGCATCTTATTTCATTGATTTA